ATCGATTTGCTCTCCCTTGTTCAGGCCAACTGTTCCTGAGGGTTTCTCCAACCTGGTACAGACCCCTTCGCTCTTCATTCCTCCCTCTCTTCAACTAAATTCCCGATTTCAGCTCAGTGTATATCTGTGGATGTCTGTCTCTGCTTCCATCCGCCACTAGGCGAGGGCTCTAGGATGGCATAAAGAGAAGTCATCAATCTCATTTTAGGGGAAGGGCTTTTAGGTTATCCTCTCCACCATTGCCTAGCTTGTCAGATCATGTCATCCTTGTAGGTCTCTGGAGATCTCCCTCTGGATTTCTTAACCATTTCTATCGACCTTTGTTTTCTGGCTTTCATTTAGGTATTTTTTGTTACAATCCCCTATCCCTACCCCTACCCTGTAGTTTTTCCAAATTCAAACAAGAATTTGAGAAGGGGTAGTCATGAGATAGGATCCAATGTAATCTTCTACTGTTTTGTATGCTCTCTGGCTTATACACTCCCATGTGTACAAGAATTTCTTGAAGTTCTTTGGCAGCAGAATCCTCTCATTTGTTACTTAAGAATGTATTGAGGGGTTTGGGATATAGATACAGCATTTGCTACACCAACATAAGAATTCAAATCCGATCTGACACGAGCGATCTGCGTGCCTGACTGAATTCCATGGTGGGATCCCACACACTTAGGCCCAGTGGAAGCAAGCTCTGCCTCCTTCCGCCAGCCCAGGTAGGCCAGGGGCTGTTTCCGGTTTCCGGTTCCCATTCGTCTTCACTGCTCAGAGTCATCTGACACGAGCGATCTGCATGCCGGACCGAATTCCTTGAAGGAATCAGACCCACTGAGCAACCGGTGGCAGTTTTATCTACATCCACTGGCCCAGAGGGACCCAACACACCCGAACACTGCCGACACCCCGGTAACAGTGACACCTCCATCCACGAGAAGAGCACAGACATCAGAGTATTGGATCTGTTTACATCTACCAGAAGAGAACCTTGGTCCCACACCCACCAGGAGAGCAAGAAACACCTACTACACCCACCAGAAGAAAGGATGAGAAGAGGACAAGGTAAAAGCACATTCAACAACAGAAAACTCAATATGACACTTCTAGAGACTAGGATCCATACATACACCAGCAAGACCTGAACATCACAACGCAGATGAACAAGAAGAAAATGACCTTAAAAACATCTTCAGAAAAATGATAGAGGACCTCAAAGAGACATGAGAAAATCCCTTAAAGAAATGGAAGAAAAAATAAACCAAAAAATACAAGTTATCAACAAATCTCTCAAGGAAACAGTTCAAGACCTAAAAACTGAAATAGAGACAATAAAGAAAGCACAATCCGAGGGAATGTTGGAAATAGAAAAGCTGGGTAAGCAATCAGGAACTACAGATGTAAGCATAACCAACAGAACACAAGAGATGGAAGAGAGAATCTCAGGAGTTGAAGACACACTAGCGGAAATAGATTCATCAACCAAAGAAAATCTTAAGTCCAACAAATCCCTAACACAAAATATCCAGGAAATATGGGATACCGTGAAAAGACCAAACCTAAGAATAATCTAGAAGAAGGTGAAGAAATCCAGCTCAAAGGCACAGAAAACATATTCAACAAAATCATAGAAGAAAACTGTTCCACCCTAAAGAAAAACAAGCCAATGAAAATACAAGAAGCCTAAAGAACACCAAATAGACTGAACCAAAAAAATAGGTCTCCTCGCCACATAATAATCAAAACACCAAACACACAGAACAAAGAGAAAATATTAAGAGCAGCAAAGGAAAAAGGTCAAGTAACCTATAAAGGCAAACCTACCAGAATCACACCTGAATTTTCCATGGAACATCTGAAAGCCAGAAGATCCTGGATAGATATTCTACCTACACTAAGAGACCATGGATGCCAGCCCAGATTACTATATCCAGCAAAGCTTTCAATCACTATAGATGGAGAAAACAAGATATTCCATGACAAAACCAGATTCAAACAATACATATCCACCAATCCAGCCTTACAGAAAGTTCTGGAAGAAAAACTGCATCCCAAGGAAGTTAACTGCCAGAAAAATATAGGCAATAGATAACCCCACTTTACCAACAGCCAAAAGGAAAAAGGGATAGAATCCCACACATAATCTCACCACCATCACCAAATCAAAAACAAACAAGAATGAAAAATCAATGATCATTAATATCCATCAACATTAATGGTCTTAACTCCCCTATAAAAAGACACAGATTAGCAGAATGGATAAGAAGACAGAATCCTTCCTTCTGCTGCATACAAGAAACACACCTCCGCCTCAAAGACAGACAGTACCTAAGAATTAAAGGTTGGGGAAAGATTTCCCAATCAAATGGTCCCAAGAAACAAGCAGGGATAGCAATCCTAATATCCAACAAATTGGAATTTAAACTAAAATTAATCAAAAGAGATGAAGAAGGTCATTTCCTACTCATCACAGGAGAAATCCATCAGGATGAAGTCTCGATTCAGAGCTTTCATGCCCCAAATACAAAGGCATCCACGTTTGTAGAAGAAACATTACTAAAACTCAAATCACACATAAAAC